GCCTTCCGACAGAGCTGACCCTTGACAGCAGATACGGCCATACTTTGGCCAGGCTGTGAGATGAGATTCTGCTGGCACTGGGCTCACAGAGCAGTCAAGGTGCGTGTGGGAGGATGGACCTGCTCCACAAACAAGAAAGTGTAGCCAAAGCCATGGTCAGCTGCTCTCAGACCTGCCCACAGTGAACCAAGGGGCCACCAGGAAAGCCCATGCGACTTCACTCCTGGTTCCTGACACATTTTCTTACATCTGAGGAGCTACCATGTCACTCCCTGGGCTGTGTCATGGCTTTGGTGCATCACTTACATGGCCAGGAGGGTTAGTTCCCCTATTCTACCATGGCTTCTGCCATACAGCTCCCATTATTGACTCCCCTGCACTTGTAGATCTTATCATAGAATCATAGAATCAACAGGGTTGAAAAAGACCTCCAAGATCGTCGAGTCCAACCCTACTGTGGTTACTGGACCATGGCACTAAGTGCCACATCCAGTCTCATCTTGAAATCCTCCAGGGATGGTGAATCCACCACCTCCCTGGGTGGGGAGCTTCACCACCTCCCCATTCCATTTTCTAACTCTCCAGCTTCTCAGATCTCCCTTATGTGTCATCTGACAGTGAAGGCAGAGATGTTTTATTCTCCAGTACACCTGCTCTTCGTGTTTACTGGAAACGACTGCATAGTGAGAAGAATTCAACAGGGACACAGCACTCCTGCCATATGTTAAAGCCACAGGTGGAAGCATTCGTCTCACTGAATCCCAGCCTACCTCAGTAGGAACTATGAACACAGCAGCTCCTTTAAAAACAGAAGTTTTCGAAGGTGATGACTAGAGCTCATGTTCAGTTCAGCAGTCCAAGGAAACCCCCTTGACACCACATGGAACAAGGACAGTTGGGCTAGGCCCCTCGGCTGGTGAGAGCAATTTACCTTTCTGAACTTCTGTGGAAAAGGTATTGCAATGTGATAATTAAGCAGATTAAGCATAAATAACTTACCCTTGCAGTGAAGTCCACAGCAGCACCCCGGTTTAACAGCAATGTAGCTACATTGATATTTCCATAGTGAGCAGCTATGTGGAGGGGAGTGAACCCACTCTGGAAAAAAACAAAACAAAATATAACCAATAGAGACTTTTTTTTAATATCATATTGGTACTCCAAAATCTGTGGCACATCACTGACAAAAGCTAGCAATAGGATTCTGCTGCAAGTCGCCACTCCAATTCTGTACTAGTTTTCAATCACTGACATTTATTTATAGAATCTCAGAGCATCTAAATAGAATCATATTGCTATGCAGGAGGGAAAAAAAGTAACATAATTATTCTAGAAGAAGTTGAATAAAACTTTCAGTTATTGCACAAAATACAACAGCAAAACATTTGAGTACTAAAGCAGTCATCTGACTTTTATAAGAAATTACCTTCTAACTGGAAATATGTAGTTATTGGTATTATGTCAGTCTTGCAAGTTAAATCTCGGAGAGATTCTTTGCAGAAGTTCAAATACAAGTCATTTAATGATATTTGCTAACTGATTTTATAAATTCAAAGTAGATGCAATGAAAATAACATCAAAGACTATTTTAAATTATTAATATGGCTTTTTTTTTCCAAGGGTTAGTACCATAAAGATCAGTCTCCCACTGTGGGCAATCACACTGGGTTATGTTCAGACACCACAAGTTATCACCCTAATTAGAAGATGCCTTACTGATAAAATTACTTTAGCAACTGATTTTCATATTTAAGTAGTTTTACTTCCTTTTAAAATAATGCTAAAACATGCAGCAATTCCATCAATCCTGCAAAGTATGAAACCTTATGGGAACTAGATGCATTTCTAAATTGTTAGCAAGCCATGCTAGCTGCCACTGCCTTGCTTTGGGAGATTTGCAGATAGAAAACCACTCTCAGATCATTCTGTTTGCTGACACCATCAAGGTAAGTGTCATGCAGAAGCCTAGAATCAGACCTGGATGCACAACATGACAGGGTTGTCTGCAGCTCTTAACACATCTGATAAACATGTGCTCCATGAGAATCCCGGAAACCTCCATCTTACATAATACAGCTCTTTTATGATGGCAGTTAGTTCCCAAGAATGCTCAACTCTTACTTTTAAACCCTAGTTTCAGCTGCAGAAAGCCCTGGTATCTAAACTACAGTCTTCTCTAGCACATGCTACTTCATTTCGTCTAAAGCAAGTGTCTATCCTATAAAAGGCGATGCAAAAAGGAGGAGGAAGAAATGATGCAGCAGCACTAAGTCATGGAGGAGTGATGATGCATATATATATTTATATATACCTCTGTTGTTCTATTCACCATCATCTAGGTTAACACATTTGGAAGCAAAGAGGGGGAAAAAATGAACGGTTAGTTCACCACTGGTGACATGGATGCAGAAAGCTTCATGATTGCTACGTGGCATGGCAGCTCAGATGACAGCACAACTGGCACACGAAGGAAGCTTGACTGAATGGAAGCTGAATGAGTGAGTACTGTGACTGCTAATTGTTACATGTTTACCAAAGTTCTTAAAGTAGCAATCGCACAAACAACTCATCAAATGACTTAATTGTACAATACCTATAGCTCACCACTTCAGGAGTGGTTTTCATTTCCGAGAGAATAATTCAAGTAATATTTTGTTTATTATTTTCCATTTGCAAGGTTTCTACAAGAGAAATTAACCCTCATTTAAACAGAAAGGGAATGGGGGAGAAAGAGGCAAAGGAAGCAAATTAAAGGTCATTCATAATCACACCTTAGAGGAGAAAGTTACGTGTAACTGCAGCAAAATACTTCACACTGAGGGAGATCTTCACTGGGTATACTATGTATGGTCAGCACATAAAAGAATCAAAGCCTTTTTCCTTTTTCCAACTGACCTTTGACTCCACATCAGCATTGTGGTCGTTCTGCAGGAGCAGAGCCGCTGCCTTCGTATCATCCTTGCGAGCAGCGATGTGAAGGGCAGGAAGACGAACTTTTCCCTTCGTATCATTTTCGAGCAGCAGTGAAACCACCTGGTCATGACCTTGCTGCAAAGCTACTGCCAAAGGTGTGAAACCATCCTGCAACATACAATGGGGACCCTCAACACATGTTCCAAGCTTTCCAGGGGGTGGAAAGGGGAAGGGAAGAGTTCTCAGCATTGGTACCGTTACTGGCTCAAATTCAAATGCCAAGTATAACATGGTGCAAATTAAAAGTAGCAGTTTCACCAGTGATGCAGTGACACCAAAATTGGAGTAAAATGTTAGTAAACTAGGTCCTCAATGCTCAAAACAAGTTCCTGGCTTACCAGACTTAAATATAAAATTACAAGACACAAGCAAACAAAAATGACTGAAACGAGAAAAAAAAAGTGTGAAATTACTCACAAATTGACAGGTAATTATACAGATACTTATTTAAGTGTTTAATTACAGAAAAAAAGTATAAAAAGCTGAAATATTAAAAATCTCCATAGCAAATTATCATCCATTCCCTCCACAGCTACAGATTATAATCTACATTTTAAACATTATTTTTGAGAAACAAAACCCACAAACAAACCAAAACAAACTAAACCCCCACAACACTTGAGCTCTACCCACTGATATATTTTCTATGTGGATTAAAAATATAGGAATATTTGATTGTGAATACCACATTCTACCGATGTATCAATTATTTTCCTACAATTTCCATCTATGAAAATGTATATAGATGTGATGGACAACCCTCTTACAACCAGAAATTATTTCCTTTCAGATTAGCTAACAGCCAAATTAGTGCAGAACAAGACACCTGAAAAATAGAAGATTTTTGTTTAACATATTTTAGAAAAATGTAGTCTGAGATAGGTTTATAATGTTATTTTCATGGATTCTTAGGAAACTAAAGAATGAAAGAGTTGAATTTAGAGTCTGTTCCTTCCTGAACATTTAATTGGTGTTCCAATCCAGGAACACATTCAGCTTTGCCCAAGATAATACCCATAAATCACTCAAAAAACACAAAGGCAAATTACTTGGGATACTTATTTACTACATTTGATTCTCGATCAATATATCCAAAGCTTTTATTACCAAACTTCATTACAGTTTTGTAAGTTAACACCTTCTTTCACTTTTCAACTACTGCTCTCCTGACAAAACTGTATGAATATGAAATAAAAGTGCATCAATAACACAGAAGACTATAAATCTTCACCCTATGTCAAAAGTGCAGATTTGAAGTGATAACTCTTTAACTTTTGGAATTCAAAGCAATGTTTTCAGCAAAGAATTTCTCTCTCTAGCTTACCAAACAAACACCACCTCAATTTAGGAGGAGAAACAGGAAGACTTCTGAAAAAGAGCATTTTTTTAAAAAAAATAGGGGGTGGAAAAAACCTCACAAAAAAGCCCACTGAAAACCCTTGTGATAGCATAGAGTAGAGCATTTTTTAAAAAAAATGGGGGGGAAAAAAAACCTCACAAAAAGGCAACTGAAAACCCTTGTGATAGCATAGAGTAAAATGTTTGGAAGTGTGGTAGTCAAGGTAGACCTTAGTGACAAAGATGGATATTATGTTTAGTAGCGCGACGTGAACTTGTATGTACTTGCATATCCATCTGCACATATCTGCTTGATTAACAGATTAATATTTGCCTGATTAATAGATTATTATTATAAGATCTTGAAACTATGTTTGGGGGGACTGTAACAATGATCAAAGGGAACTTGAAGTTATGCCTAGGAAGGATTGTAACAATAATCAAAAGCACCTGTGAAATCAATAGAATAATAGTAATGTAAGGATTAACCTATGGTTATGTAAGAGAAGAGTATAAAATGGATCCATCTCAGATCCATGTGGGAGTCAGATTTGGGTCTGTACCATGACTCCCAGAGCTCTTCAATAGAAGCACCCATATAATCATTCAGTGATTATGTGTTTTCTACACTAACACTTGAATCCTAACAAGTTTTTTTCCCCTGAAAATGTGTCCCCTCATCTAACCAGTCTTCCCCTTTGCCTCAAGCTCCATATCCTCCTGCAGCAGGGCAGGGCTCTGGGCTTTGGTCCCAGGCTGTGAGCAGCTCCTGGACTGAAACAGCCACACAGCCCCAGACAGTGTGCGGAGAGAGACACAGGGTGTGAAAAACGTTGCGTAGCTCTGAAGGCCAAAAAACCCCTGTGAACATTCCCACAAGATGGCTCTGGCAAGACAGCTATGCTGTAGCTGCAGCATTGGAGGCTCTTGCCTGGAGAACCCTCGTGACAGCACCTCAGAGCCTAGCACAGCTTGGCTTCTTGCTCTGTTGACACCATGCAGGCACAGTCAGTCACCTCGCACAGGAAAACGGTGGAGGTATCTACAGTGACTTTTCTTGCTGGGCTTACTCTTCTGTTAAAAATGCTAGTAATGATAATATCAATTTTCAAAATCCTAGGAAAACGTGTTCCCCTTTCCCTAGGGAAAATGGAGTGGACAAATGGGAGGGAGCACTTCACTTAAGCTCAGAAGAGCTGCCATCCATCCTTTACACCTCTGGTTTCCCACCTTGGAGGAGAACTGCCCATCATTTCAGTGTGTGCAGGGATTGCTGTACCAAGGCCAAGCAAACTGTGATGAGGAACATTAGCACCAACAGGAACGTGTTTCCACAAGAAGGTGCCAACTCACAAAAAGTACCATGATGTCAGTACTAGAATTAACGACTGCACTTCAAAGACAAAGCCCATCCCAGAAAAAATCCAACCAAAACAAACCCCCCAGAACTAAATTTATTTTAGATAAATAGAATCAACTATTTTCCCTGTTCAGATTAAAACACCTCCATTAAAGGGTTTTATTTTTAAAGAATATTTACCTAAGTGGCAATTCTTTAATAAAAAAAAGTTTTTGCACTTGCAAAGATAAAGAGAAATCAGATTTATATGAAAGCTTGGACAAGAGAAAATATAACACACCCATAAGCAACTATCTCAAACAAGTAAGGCAATAAAGTCACCACTCTTTTGCAGTCTGGTATCTTCAAAGGAATTCTTCATGGATAAAATTAGATTGCACCTTATCAACAAGCTGAGATGGAGAAAAACTCAGCCTAAACTGACATACAGTGCTCAAGCGAAAAACAATACCACAGAAAAAGAACTAAGCACCCATTCAAAATTTACAAAAAAATTCTCTTTTCAGAAAATCATACTGTAGCAAGTGTATTTTCAGAATTCAGAACCTGTTGTACATCTCTGGGTGTTCTGTGTATTCTTTTTTCCCAAAGTTTCACAAAGGAATAGAAATTAGTATTCAGAAAACTCTAATTTTCAAATAATTTTCCAGATGTAAAATATTTCCTTTTGGTATTCCTTGACTTTCAGATCTTTGAGCATTTAAAAAGAGCAGCTCTGATGCACCCTTCTAGTTATAACTAACTTTTAGTGATTTTGGAAATACAATTTTCATCTCTTAGTGATTCAATTTTTACAGTATTGACTTCAAAGGAATAAGATTCCATACCTACATCATTATACAGTGCTCGTATGAGGTGTAGGGTTGCAATACACCAAGTTTGCATTGCATATTTTGCAAAAAGTAGGCCTTTTTCAACTAAGTTTCACTTCCTTCATGGAAACAGTTCCAATAGAGCAATCAGAATTTAATAAACATTAAAGACAGCACATACTGAAAAACTTTTTCATATTTTGATAACAAAATCTTGTTAGTATGACAACTGAAAATTCATCAGATTCAACCCCTATCTCAATGCAGTACATTAATGACTAATAATATACTTGCTATTTATTTTCCTTACAGATTGTCTCTTTCAAGTTAGAATTAGGTTTTAAAGGAAGAAATAAAAAGTGTTCTTCTAGTAAGATCACAGAACACCTGCAAGGATGGACCTTGCATCTTTCTGTCTATCACTGCAGGATCAGATGGGATAACTTGGTGCCACAGAGAGGGTGTCAACAAGGTAATAAATGCAGCTCAGAAAATGCTCCAAGCACCAAGCAACCCTAGGTTTTCCTGATATTCCAGGGTTGGCTCCAAAGCATAGGCAAACAGTTGTACTTGCCTTATGGTTGCCACCCTTCTCACTACTCACTATTTTTAATGAAAGCACAGAGAACTTTTACATTATACACACAGCTTCCCTAGTTCAGCATTTAACCTGAAAGATGACAAGTTATTACTAAGAACAGATCTATATTTAGAACTGTTTCTTGTTAAAGTAAGGGTTTTTTATATTTTAGCAATGACAAGAGATAGCTTAAATTGCTGAAAGCCCAGAACTCTATTCATTAGCAAATTTCACTTTTCAGTCATCTTTAATTTTGTATTTAAAAGACTAGTTTGACATAAGCTGGCACAAATCACTGCTGAAGCACCTTTTACTTTGTTCATAAAGTGTGAAATTCAGACTTTTACCTCTGTGGCAAGGCTTTGACTGGCACCATTGTCAAGAAGAAACTTGACAACCTCCAGGTGGTTTTCTTGGGCTGCCATATACAGTGGAGTGAAACCATTCTGAAATAGGAAAATAAGAGTGTAAACAGCTCACAGACATTTCATACATATCACAGATCTGCCAAACACAGGGAGATGAGGAGAAAACCAAACAAACCATTTGCTCACACACCAGTTAATGGTGTGGTCTCTCTTGACAGCAAGGAAGATAGGAGAAGAGTAATTTAAAAAGACATAGCAGAATCTTTCAGCTGACCAGGTATAATTCCCATAGCAAAGTGAGAATACTTCCTTTTACATATGTTGTGAAGTCAAACTAAAAATCAGTCTGGACAGATGATTTGGTAGAGATGAGTTATTATTCCTGACAAATACAGCCACAGCACTGGAAATGCAAAATGGGACAGGGAAATATAATACAAGTCTGTAGCAGAAACAAGAGCAATGGCTCTTCAGAGTGCTTGTCATTTTTTTTGCTTCCTTCCATTAGCTTTGGCTTCTCTTTCACTTGTGCCAGCTACTTATGCCTTCCCTCTCCTCAAAGAGCTGCCTTCTGAGCAAAGCCTGCTTGTGGTCACTAAGCTACTTCATGTTTCAGGCACCAGGAGGTCTGAGGATCATTGGTTCTCAGTAGTTTGAGACAGAGGTTTATCAGTGTTTCCAACCACATTAGAGCATCTCTCAAATTATGCTTAAGTGAGCGATTTCAATCAATGCAATACAAGTATTAGAGGCTGCAGAACTTAACTCATTCTTCCCTGAGTGCCCTTCTCTTAGAGTCAATGCTTTTGTCTTTGCCTCAACAGTAAACAGGCCACAGCCTTTCAGAAATTGAAGTTTTGGGGACTAACATTAAGGCAATGTATTTTTCCCCTCCTGTTCTAAGAATTTCTGAAATCTCCACTACGGTTGCACAGGACATTGACCTAAATTTTGCAGGAAACCAATGGAGCCAGAAATGAGCTGAGAAGAGTTTGGCATACATTTGCATCAAAGAAAAAAACATCAACATTTGGGCTCTGGAGAGATGAAGGGAAACCATAGCCTAAGACATGTAGCAGAGAAATTAGGCTGAGTTCTAGCAGCCGCAGTGAAAACAGCTGAGAGACATCTGACTGTCACAGCAATGGTGCAGAGCTGCAGGGCACACATCCAACACAGAGCATGCAGGAGAGCACAGGTGACCTGAGGCCAAGCACACAGGCTTCAGTGCCAGCAGAGACAAATAGGAGGTCAGAACAAAGGACAGTTGGAGAGGAAATGGCATGAACTGGATGTTTGATCCAAGAGGAACTTCACCATCAGCAAGTCACTGAGCAGCTGTGAAGCCACATGTTTACAAGGCTCACACAGGCTGCAGGGTCTGTGCTGTTCCAGGATTTTGACAATTTGGTCTCTATTCAGGAAAGCATCACTGCAAGCATAAAGCAGGTGCTGAAGTCCCACCACAGCCAAAGCCTAAGGTTAGCAATGTGTTAATAAACTCTCCAGAACTGAAGTCTAATGGTTTAGTAACCATACAGCCAATGAATGAATGAAAAATAAATAATCCAGAAAGCACTTGCTAAGGTACCTAATATTTCACACTACAAGTTATTACAGCCAAGAGCAGTCTGGTATTTGTCCCTGTCATTTCATGCCATACTCAGTATCTATTTACTAACTCAGCA